GCTTAGGTGCTAACCAACTGGATCAACACTGCGGCGTTGAGGCAAGGTCTGAAGACAGCTTATATACTGTGGATCCTCTGATGATGGAATGAGCTCCAGCTGTGCAGGAGGCTCGGCTCAGGAGGATCCACGGCGGACTCTGCTGGAGAAAGGTGGTACTTCTCCAGCTCCCAACAGTAAGAATCTTAACCATAGAAAAATGTAAGCACGGTGGTGGCAGCATCATGTTGAGGGTTTTTCTTTCTTTGAACAAAAATGATGGATTGATTAAAAAACAGTGACCTCCAATTCTTTATCTCAATTTAACAACTATATGTTTAATTTTCTTTAAAAGAATTTGAAGTTCTGATCATTAAAACATCCCAAGGACACATCACAACCACGTTTAAAATATCTACAGTGGATAAAATTAGAATCTGGAGTGGCCTAAACTGTAACCTGCTTGAAGGTTTCAAACAGGAACACTATCTTTATCCGGTTTACCCTGACCTCCTGCTTCATTCTCTCTCTTTTCCCACTAACATTGTTCAGGAAGTTGGGCTCTGGCAGCTTTCTGGTTGTGTGGCTTTTTTCCTGCTTTTAATCAGTTAAACTGCTTACAGTACGTTTTGCAATACCAGACATTAATTGAGTGCAGGCTGATCTGAGTGTTACATTTCTAAGAAAAAGAGCTGCATAATAAAATCTGAGAGCTACACGGCTGCATGGCTGTCGGATGTAGGCTCCGCCCCGTTAACCTTCCTGACAACAGTTAGCACCAGAGGTTTCAGACCCTGAGTTATTTAGACTGCTTGTGGACGAAGCTTGGACATGACGGTGGGGAGGAAGGTTGGATGGTGAACTTGGATGTAGTAGACGGCACTTCCTCCAGCCATGATGGCCAAGCTCCACTTGATCAGGCGGCCTGCCGCTGAGCTTTCACGAGGTCCCAGCTGTGTGGCAAAAATAAAACAATGAATGGTTACATTAAATTACATTTAATCTTTATTCAGTAGCAGTTTATCAATTGTTTATTATTTTTCTTTATTGAGGCCAACAATCTAAACATGAGAAAGAACATTCTTTAAAATATTTTTATAAAATAATAGATGCACAGATCTGTTTTTTCCCATCCAGTCCGAAATGATTAGATACTGTTGAATGCATTAACCGTATACCTCACCATGTGAGCAATGACAGGAACATTGTTTGAAAATTAACAAATGAGCACAGATTAAAATCATAACTAGCTGGTGTGTGCGCTCTCAGGATGATGTAATCATCATATAGAGAAGGGACTATATAGTGGAGGAGCTAGCCACTTGGGCCAGCTCCTCCGGGGGAATCCCAAGGTGTTCCCAGGCCAGCCTAGAAACATAGTCCCTCCAGCGTGTCCTGGTTTTCCCCCTGGTCCTCCCCCCAGTGGGACGTGCCTGGAACACCTCACTATGGAGAAGTCCAGCAGGCATCCTAACCAGATGCCCGAGCCACCTCAACTGGCTCCTCTCGATGTGGAGGAGCAGCAGCTCTACTCTGAGTCCCCCCCGGGTGACTCAGCTCCTCACCCTATCTCTAAGGGAGAGGCAGACATACTACGGAGAAAACTAATTTCAGCCGCTTATATCCGGGATCTCGTTCTTTTGGTCATGACCCAAAGCTCATGACCATAGATGAGGGTAGGAACGTAGATCGACCGGTAAATCGAGAGCTTCGCTTTTTGCCTCAGCTCTCTCTTTACCACAACAGACCGGTACAGAGCACGCTTCACAGCAGACGCCACACCAGTCTGCCTATGGATCTCCCGCTCCATCTTCCCCTCATTCGTGAACACGACCCCAAGATACTTAAACTCCTCCACTAGGGGCAGTACATCCTCTCCAACCTGGCTTAAGACCATGGTCTCGAAGATGGAGGCACTGATCCTCATCCCGGCTGCTTCACGCTGCGAACTGCTCCACTGAGAGCTGTAGATCACACCCTGATGAAGCCAACAGAACCACATCATCTGCAAATAACAGGGATGCAATCCTAAGGCAACCAAAACAGATCCCCTAGTAACCTTGGCTGCACCTATAAATTCTATCCATAAAAGTTATGAACATAATCGGTGACAAAGGGCAACCTTGGCGGAGTCCAACCGTCACTGGAAATTAGTCCCACTTACTGCCGACTGACAATGCGGACCAGGCTCTTACACCGGTCATACAGAGACCTAACAGCCCCTATTAAAGGGCCCAGTACTCCATACTCTAGGAGTACCCCCCACAGGACCCCTCGAGGGACACGGTCGAATTCCTTCTCCAGATCCACAAAACACATGTAGACTGGTTGGGCAAACTCCCATGCACCCTCCAGTATCCTGCTGAGGGTGTAGAGCTGATCCAGTGTTCCACGGCCAGGATGAAAACCACACTGCTCCTCCTGAATCCCAGATTCGACTATCCGACGGACCCTCCTTTCCAGAACCCCGGAATAGACCTTACCAGGGAGGCTTAAGAGTGTGATTCCTCTGTAGTTGGAACACACCCTCCGGTCCCCTTTTTTAAATAGAGGGACCACCACCCCAGTCTGCCAATCCAGGGGCACTACCCCTGATGTCCACGCAATGTTGCAGAGCCACGTTAACCAACACAGCCCCACAACATCCAGAGCCCTAAGGTACTCAGGGCGAATCTCATCCACCCCTGGAGCCTTGCCACCGAGGAGGTTTTTGAACCACCTCAGTGACTTCAGCAACAGAGATGGGAGGACCCAAACCGGAGCCCCCAGGCTCTGCTTCCTCAATGGAAGACCTGTTGGTGGGATTAAGGAGGTCTTCAAAGTACTCCACCCCCCGACATACGACATCCTGAGTCGAGGTCAGCAGCACACCACCCCCACTATAAATAGTGTTGGTACTGCGCTGCTTCCCCCGCCTGAGACGCCGGATTGTGGACCAGAATCACTTTGAAGCCGTACGGAAGTCTTTCTCCATGGCCTCTCCGAACACTTCCCACGCTCATGTTTTTGCCTCAATGACCAACCGAGCTACCTGCCACTTTAACGGCTGGTACATATCAGCTGCTTCCGGAGTCCCACAGGTCAACAAAACACGATAGGACTCCTTCTTCAGCTTGACAGCTTCCCTCACTACTGGTGTCCACCAGCATGTTCGAGGGTTTCCGCCGTGACGTGCACCCACAACCTTGCAGCCACAGCTCCGACTAGCAGCCTCAACAATAGAGGCACGGAAAATGGTCCACTCAGACTCAGTGTCCCCCACCCCCCTCGGACCATGTTCAAAGCTCTGCCAGAGATGGGAGTTAAAGCTCCTTCTCACAGGGGACTCTGCCAGACGTTCCCAGCAGACCCTCATAATACGTTTGGGCCTATCAGGTCTGACCGGTGTCCTCCCCCACCAATCGCAACCAACTCACCACCAGGTAGTGGTGGGTGGAGAGCTCCACCCCTCTCTTCACCCGAGCATCCAAGACATGCGGCCACAGGTCAGAAGAAACAACAACAAAGTCAATCATTGAACTGCGGCCTAGGGTGTCCTGGTGCCAAGAGCACATATGGACACCCTTATGCTTGAACATGGTGTTCGTTATGGACAATCCATGACAACCAAAGACGTCCAACAACAGAACACCACTTGAGTTCAGGTCAGGTGTGCCATTCCTTCAAACCACGCCTCGCCAGATCTCACTGTCATTGCCCACGTGAGCGTTGAAGTCCCCCAGAAGAACAAGGGAGTCCCCAGGAGGGGCACTCTCCAGTACCCCCTCTAAAGACCCCAAAAAGGGTGGCTAATCTGAACTGCTGTTTGGCGCATTAGCACAAACAACAGTCAGAACTCGTCGCCCCACATGTATGCGGAGGGAGGCAACCCTCTTGTTCACCGGGGTGAACCCCAACGTACAGGCACCAAGATGAGGGGCAACAAGTATGCCTACTCCTGCTCGGCATCTCTCACCAGGGGCAACTCCAGAGTGAAAGAATGTCCAGCCCCTCTCAAGGAGNGTATGCGGAGGGAGGGAACCCTCTAGTTCACCGGGGTGAACCCCAACATACAGGCACCAAGATGAAGGGCAACAAGAATGCCCACTCCTGCTCAGCACCTCTCACCAGGGGCAACTCCAGAGTGAAAGAATGTCCAGCCCCTCTCAAGGAGACTGGTTCCAGAGCCAGAGCCATGCGTCGAGGTAAGTCCAACTATCTCTAGTCGGAACCTTTCAACCTCACGCACTAACTCAGGCTCCTTCCCCACCAGAGAGGTGACATTCAATGTCCCAAGAGCTAGCTTCCTTAGCCGAGGGTGAGAATGCCAAGGTCCCCAACCTCCACTGCCACCCATCACACATTGCACCCGACCTCTTTGGCCCCTCCTACAGGTGGTGAGCCCATTGGAAGGGGGACCCATGTTTGCCCTTCGGGCTGTGCCCAGCCGGGCTCCATGGGTAAAGGCCCGGCCACTAGGCACTCGTCAGCTAGCCCCACCTCCAGGCCTGGCTCCAGAGTGGGGGCCCGGTGACCCGCGTCCGGGCGAGGGAACACTACGTTAATTTATTTTATTTTCCCTGTTATAGGGATATGTACCAAAGGCTTTTAAGGTTACTGTAATTAAACCTCTGCTTAAGAAACCGTATATATAACTGGATGTGCTCTATTCATCCTCTGACATGGGAGCTGGCTCGGAGCTCGTCTGCCTGGCTGTGTGTTTCCTGGACGGGGCCTCCTTTCACAGTTGTTGTCTTTTGTATCTATGCTTCTTTTTCTATCTCTGCTTCTGTCTCCTTGAACCCCAGATGGCCTCAGCAGATGGCCGCTCACACTGAGCCTGGTTCTGCTGGAGGTTTCTTGCCATTAAAAGGGAATTTTTCCGCTACACAGTAAATAAACTGAATTGAATGATTAAATTATAAAGTGTTGTTGGTGCTAATACTGAAACAACATGATAAATATTTGAAGAATGAAGTATACAGTATGGCATCCTGTATTTTAGAATGTATTTATTACCTGGGAAGTCTTTGAGAGGCAGGTTAGGGTAGGTGTAATGACCTCTCCTCTAATCCGTCTTTGTTCTCCGTCACCACCTCCCACTGACCGGTGCGAGGAAAGTCTGGTCTCTTTGTGACTTTTTTCACTGACGTCTGAGATATAAAGAATGATCAAGGAAAGGTTACATCGTGTATTTAATAAATGGATCAAAATGAGGTCTGCTTCCTGTCCGCTCACCTGGAAGCGGATGTGCTGCAGTAGTTTAAAGTGATCTGCGTACATCCTGAAGTACTTCAGGATTTTAGAGTGGTGCATGTAGTTGGGATAATCAGCAGGGATGGGGAAGTCGCTGTAGCACATCATCTCCTTCCAGATATTGATGGTTAAAGAGCGATAGATGCTAGCCCTGTTTGGCTCAGAGACTTCCTGGGGGGACAAAAAAGAGAATTAAAAGGAAAATATCTGACAGATGAAAATAATCTGCAGGTTTTTTTTTCCACAGCCAAGTCTTGCCTTGAACCTCCAGAGCCCCCCCATGTCGTCGCTGCTTTCAAAGCAGGTTGGCTCCATGCCCTCATCCAGACAAGCCTTTATGCTGGTGAGACCAGAGGGGCCGGCCCCGATCACTGCGACTTTCTGCACCATGATGAAGCTGCTGCAGGACAAGAAGAACAAAAGGGAGACATTGAACATAAAACTTTTCTCCCAAGACCTGGTTTAGATTATAGAGTTATGTTGAAGTAATGACAGCTCTTAGATCCCTTTGAATTCATAATTTTGTTAACATATCAATGACTTTTCTGCAGTTTTAAAGTTTTTATCTAAAATCTGTTGCAAAATCATTCAATGCATTCTGCTAAAAAGCTTTAATAAAGTTGAGGGACTGATTTTGGGAGCAGCCTAAAGCAGGACAAATGTTTCCCCCTCTATACTTCAATCATAAAATCCAGCAACATATTAACACATATTTATTATTAGCTTATCTTCCTAATAACCACATGTTTTGCTGGTCTACTTACAGTTTTTTTATGCTGGTGTTTCTCGGGGTAAGGAGCAACAGCCTGAGATCTCAGTTTGTTGGAATGGAGACAAACTTCTAGGAACTACGGGAGCCGAGAAGGACCAACGCCCCGCCCGTTACAGATCATTTAGATTTATCTAGATATTCTTAACATGTTATCAGTAGATAAGAACATGATGTGGTGTGGCGGCATCGCTGTGAAGTTAAGGATTTATTGTTTACTATGTTGCTATAATCAGCGCTTATCTTCTGTCTAGCTTAACAGTTACGTTTCAGAAGTTATTCAGGCACTTATTCAGTTAATGCAGGCATTACGTTTATAGACTGGTGGAGATTCTCAGTTATCCAGGTCATAGTCATTCCAAAGTTAAAAAAGAATCCTAAGGGGTGGACCCGTTCGTCTGGTTCAATTTGCATGTTTTCTAAGCTAAAACAAGGCTTTGGTTCTGTCTCCCCTTATAAAACCTCGAACTCAACACTATTTCTGACATTTTGAATTGAAAAAGCTTCTTGGATGGGAAGTGGAAAACTTTAAACTTGGAAAAAAAAAGTCCAGTGAATTGTTTTTTTTTTTACTTTTTCAGAAAGAATTACATTTATAGACTGTACACAAGACAATCTAAACTGAAAAAGATTAAATTTGATGCATTTATTAGAAAATTTCTTGCTTCTGTAACCCAGGTATTAAAAAAAAACAACTTATATTTTAGGGGTGCTTTGATTCAAATTAGGGTTGCTTCAGCACTGTCCAAAATAGGCTAAAAACGCCTATGCTCTCATATGTGTTGTTCAGCTATACTAATCTGTTCTAGGAGACCTTTTTCTAATTGTGTATTTTTATCTTTAATCTCAAGATTTGGGAATATTCCACATTTTAATTGAGGTCTGAGATCTATTTCTTCGTATCCCTATAGCGCCCTCTGTCCGTTGCTTCTCACTTTTCGCTGTTGTCTTTATTGCACTTTACTGTCCTTCATAATGCTACAATTTTTTGTGTTGAAATGATAAAACCTTAACGTTTAAAGGCTTTTGCTCCACTGTAAATCAGCATCTGGTGTGATTAGAAATGCCAGTTTGTGAAGTTATAACAGGATCATTTTCTTAGTGTTTTCTTAAGTGAAACCACATGATAGTCCCTGCTGGGTTCTCCCCTGGAAATCAGTAACTGACTGAATCCAGAATATGATCTACCAGGTAATCATTCAAAGATAAGTTTGACGATGAGAATCAAAGAAGATGATTAAGCTGAGGCAGCGATTCTTGGCTTCATTT